ATGCACAAAATAAAAAATCGGTAGATCATGCACAGATGTGGGTAGAAGAAAAAAAAACGAGAAATAATGATGGGGGGATACCGTTAAAGAAAATTCCTTTTGTAATTGTTGTAATTGTCAGTCCATAGTCGGAATGCCAAACTTTTTTAGTTATTAACGAGCTTATCTAGATACAATCCATTAATGGCCTATTATGCCAAAATCAAGGTACTAAGTAAAAATAAAATGCATTTTTTAAAACTCGTTGTTAGCACGAATATTGTAACAGATACATATATAATAAAGTTAGATTATAAATTATCTTGTTTATTTCAGTTTCATGCACACTATTCACATCAGATATACGTAGAATTATGTACATCAACGGAATATTAGAGAAAATGAAACAATAAACATGTTCAGAGAAAGCAATGTGCAAAAAAAGGATTGAATCTCTCTCATTGTGGAAAAGGGTCCAGTATAATTTTAACAAGTTAGAAACTCCACAATTATTTTTTTAGATGAATAATCAGCTTTTTTTCAATTAATCCTCTACATAGAAATATCCTATGTAATGGTTTAATATTGAAAAAACACATTTTGTTTTGTTTTCAACTAGTTAAACTGGACAAAGTTATTTACTCATCCCAGTTTATCTGAGATAATATGAGATTGAGTGCTTATGGTTACAACAGAGTCCTAATATATATAGTATGTCGAAAATATGAATTAGAAGGCGAGAACTAGTTATTAGATTGAGTGTATTTGTTTTTTCGTGCACGATATTTCTTCTTGCATGAGAATGTAGTAATTAAATAATGATAACATGTTAGTAGAGTCTGCCGGCGTGACATTTTTGACACCCTGTTGATTGATATGTGTTTTGTACAAGTGATATTTTTTTATTGCTTGTCCTCTGATTCTATAGGATAGGAAAATTATACTTACTGTTTCTTTAAAAATATGAAATTATGTATTAATATTCATCTGTTTATTGAAATATTTGATATATATTGTTTCTAAACAAAAATTGATCTAATTTCTTCGTAGGGTTCAACAGTTGAATCCGCCATTCGAAAAAGCAATGATCCTGAAATAAAATGGTCAGCACAAGGCATGATGCGTTTAACACCTGAAGCAATGAAGCGTTTATTTCAACCAACTGTTGATAAAATTAAAAGTTCTGTTGGAGAAGTATTGAATAGTCCAAATGTACGAGGTAATATTATAAAAATACAACAAATCTTATCTAGCAATAAAGAGTTTCATATTTCTCATTTATCTTATTTTTAATCACAGGTATACAGTATCTTTTTCTTGTGGGCGGCTTTGCAGAGTCACCAATTTTACAACATGAGATTAGAAGATCATTTTCATCTATTCTTAAAAGTATGTAAAATTTTTAATCAATATAAGAAAAAAAGATTTTGTTTTATTTTCTCTTCATCTTTTTGTTTTTTAGTAATTATACCACAAGATGTATCACTCACAATTTTAAAAGGTACGTCTATACTAGAACAAAAGTCATATTTGACAAATGAAGGTTTCATCTTTATGGAAAAAAAAATTTCATATTCATGAGGATTAATCATGATATTTTCTAATGTAAAAATATAATTTAATCACTTAAAAAATGGATAAGAAATACTAAAATTCTATATCATTTGTATTAGAACTACTCTTGTGTCTTTGATTAATAGTGCATACAATTTTGTATTATAGGAGCAGTATTATTTGGTTTGGATCCGACTATTGTCAACGTCCGTCGTTCTCGTTTAACATATGGTGTATCTGTTTTAAATCGATTTATTGATGGTTTTCATCCATCTGAAAAGAAAATAGTTAAAGATGATATTGAATGGTGTGCCGATATATTTGATAAATTTGTACTTGTTGATCAATCAATCGGTTTGGGTGATACAGTAGTTCGAAAATATACGCCGGCACGATATAATCAAGCTCAATGTATAATTAGTTTTTATTGTTCAGAAAGTGATAAACCTACATATGTTACGGATCCGGGTGTAAGAAAAATTGGAACACTTGTTTTAGATATGTTGTTATATGATGATAAATTAAGTGGAGGTAATATAACTACTCAACGTCGACGAGAAGTTCAAACACGAATGGTATTTGGTGATACGGAAATAAAAGTGAGCGCATTAGATATCACAACTGGAAAATGTGTTCGTGCAACAATCGATTTTTTGAACAAATAGATTGATTTATCATAGAAATATGTTTTCTTTTAATTTAATTCTTTCAGGATTAAACGTATACAATTTATTATTTTTTTGCTTGACAAAAAAAAAAATAGAGTAGTGAGAGAATAATCTTCTTCGCTATTTTATTTGTATAACAGTTGAATATAAAATCAGTAATTTATTCAGTAACTGAGAAAATAATCAATGCACATTATTGTTTTGTATTTTGAACAAGAATATAGTTTCTCTGATCTGATGTGTTGTATATTTCGTTGCTTTTTTATTGTTATAAATGAAATAAGAAATATACATAGGCTGAACAAGAAATATTGTTCAGCATTTTCGTCCATATTTTTTTTTTTCAACAAAGGCTAATATGTTGTTGTTATTTTTGTTGTTTTTTGGGCTTTAATTTATCTATGTAGAGTATTAAGTCTCTCTCTTTTTAAAAAAAAATTTATGCATTTTTTGGATTTTTTTTTTTTTTTTGTAGAAAAGTATCTCTATCTAATCTCTTTCTTTTGTATTTTTATGTTTTCTTGTTTTTTTCTATTCACATACTTTTCTCACAAGTATGGCAGATATCTCTATGAAACAATGGAAAAAAGATAATAATATAGAATAATAATTTTTTGAAAAAAATATATTACATATTGTTAAGTAATATTCTAATAGAGATAAAAAAATAATTCAAAAACTAGAAGAATATATAAGATTTGTAGTATGTTTTAAAATTGATTCAATTATAATTAATTATTTTACTCATCTCACATACGAAGTATTGTAGATGTTTTGTACAATTGTACTATATTTGTGTACAATCATTGTTTTCTCTTGTTATTTGCTTCATCGAAAATCAATAGTTAAACGTTTAGAACATGATACAGATCATGAAACATTTCTATGATATTCATGAATTAAACTAACTTAGGCATAAAAGAACAGATGTTAATAATTCTTAGTTTATTGCTTCATCATCGTCATCATCATCATCATCATTATTATATTATACATGCGCAACGTTATTCTATGTGTTAATATCTCATAATTGTGTATAAGTATGTCATTGATAATCACTGCTAGAAGCAAACATTTTGTTTAGATTGGATGATTAGTTCTATGTCATATTTCATATAGTCTTGTCAATATTCAAATAGAATCGTTGAAGAATAAACAAATTAAAAGTTATATTTTTATTTATTCAAAAAATGTTGATTTTTTAATCCAAACAGAGTTACCAATTTTTTTTCTTTGTATCAGAATATAGCGCTAAATGTCAGCTATAAAGGATATCAATTTCACAATAATTGATTTGTGATTAAAAAAATTGCAGAGATTTTTCTAACGATAGTCATTTGTCATAATGGAAAAAATAGTAATAACTCGATTATATAGCATTCTTCTGACTTAAAGTATTCATGAAATTGCTTGAATAATTTATAAGTCTTAGTGACTAAGTTTCAAGGTTAAGCATCTTATAAATTAGGATTTGAATCACATGTAGATAAATAATAATGAAACATCAGGTTTATATAAGTTTTGTTGTGCTTTATAATAAACTACATAAACCATAAACATAAACTAGAAATAATCTGAAATAACTTAACTTCGTCGCTATCTGATTTAACAGATTAATCAATAGTTAAGCTTTCCAACACTCATTGGTCTTTTTGTAAAAATCAACAAAATCTAATAGATGTATGGGACAAATATTTTTTCGAGTACATCGCACTTTTAGACTTTGTACGCCCCATGTAAAAGATTCGAATTCACTTTCGGTCCTAGAAAATGCAATTTTAATCGCTTTAGGAAGATATATAATAGCTCCCGTTGCTATATTTTGTTGTAATCAAAAAGAACAAAAATCAACAAGTACTGGTAGAAACAGCATCTTCCTGTCCTACTTCCATATTCAATTTTCTGAAAGAAACCGAAAGCGTAAATCATCGAAAAGAACGAAAATCCTTAATGCTTGCCACTACAGCAATGATATGAGTGACTTTAACTTCTTAGTGAAAGTTTATCATTCTTTCTAATAGCTGAGAGAGCGAGCAAAGAAGTTCACGTATCCATGTATTCGATTTTCTTGATTGCAAAACACAAATATCATGGTCGCACAAGCGTCGATTAATGGATTTTACTATCAGCGCCCGAATGTTTTTTGAACATTAGATCACTACAAAGGTAGTTCGATGTTTTATCATCAAACTGCACTCAGCTTACAAAAGACTCCAAAAGTTTTTTGTTTTGTTGGTTCTTACTAGTTTTGATGGTCACAGACTGTTCGTAAACTGAATACAGTTTTTTTTTTTGATGGAAAATGAGTCGTGACATGTCTTGTTTTGTGCAGAAATGTTCTCCTCTTGTCTAAGTTGTTTGTGAAAACGTTCTCATCGAAACTAAAGACTTCACTTTCTTAGATTTTAGAAACTTAGTGTTCCGCGATTCCAATAGAATTTTCACAATTCACCATTCTGATTGGAAACTGTTTCAGCTGCTCAAATCACTTTTTGATCCATGTCGTCGATTTTGATTGAAAACCAACGGTTAACCGCAGTTATTGAAATAACCGTCGATCCAGCAGACGAACCAACGGTTATTTCTATAGCCGTCAACAGTGTGAAAAACTGTCAGTTATCGGTTAATCGTCTTTTTTTATCTGACTTTTTTCGCAATAGTGAGTAGTATATAACAACGAAAGAAATATAAAAAATTTGTAAGTTTTTCCATAGATGTCTATAATGATACATTGAATTCAATGAACTTGACTAGTGTTATAGTCTCAGTCACGTAAAGAGCGACTGATGGATGACCAGATGACTGAGCAACTTCATTAGATGTATTGATAGTACTCCAGCTAACGAAAAAAAGTCTTTATCGGAAAAAATAGAATTATAAGAAAAAAAACTCTGGTATAAGTCACATTTGATCAACCTTTGTATTCGTTGCTAGATAAATAATAGCCACAGCTTTTAACAGAATTTCTTGCCGGTTAGCCATAGCTAGCTAACTTCATAATTAATCGAACGATTAACTGACGATTTTTTTACCGGTTCATATCACATGGGGAATCTCTTTTAGCTATCGTCGTCGAGGACACCAAACCTAGAATAAAGAATATTGTCAAACAATCTAGTAATTCATTGTATTTTTTTCATACCAGTCCAGTTCTTATTGTTCGTTTTTTTGTTATGGCTGGCGAAAATTGTGTCCTCTGTCACATACATCAGCGATTTTCTTTTGGTCACACGTTTCGAATAAAAATATATTGTAGAAATAGACAATCTGTTTGTACATTCACTCATCAGATCTTATCGACAACACACATCCTCATTAAAATGAAATTTTCATACATATATCTAATCTGGTCAACTTTATTGTTGACTTTGAATCTAAGTTTAATATCAACTGATTCATTTCCCGTTATTGGACTAAGTGTTCTTCAACCAGCACCCGGCGGCTCACTAGTCTATGGTCAAATCCAACTAACACAACAATATTTTGGTATGGACTTTATGAAACATGAAAGATTTTTTCCACCATTCTTCTTTACTTCAAAGGTTCACCGTTAGTTATCGAAGGTATTCTATATAATTTAAAACCATCCACAAGTCATGGTCTTCATGTTCATGAAACCGGAGATTTGTCACAAGCATGTTTGTCACTTGGCGGACATTTTAATCCTCATGGAAAATTACATGGTAGTGAGAAGAGTTCTGAACGCCATTTGGGAGATCTTGGAAACGTTCTTACAGATGAGTTTGGTATTGCTAATATATATCTCGTTATTCAAGATGGTTCTTTATTCGGTGCACAGGGATGGATTGGTAAGATGCTATTGAGAATAGAAATTATTTGCTTAATATTGTCAATACAGACAGAACAATAGAAAATCAATTGCTTGTAGTAGAAAATGAAAAGTTAAAGTAGAAGATTAAAGTCAAGAGAATAAAAAAGCGTTCTGATTTGAACTTTGATCTATTGCATTGTTGCATTTTAGGTCGATCTATAGCTGTTAGTGAATTTCAAGACGATTTAGGAGAGAATATTGACGAAGGAAGCCAGAGAAGCGGGTAAATATCGAATTATTTTCCACAATGTCTATTGAATAACTTTACAATAAAACTTATGATATTTTTTACTTTCAGGAACTCTGGTGGATCGTTGGCCTGTGGTGTTATTGGTATTAAATATCCTGTAGGTAGTTTACCAAATGAAAACAAAATGTACGATTATATTCGTCAATAATCTTCAATTTTGAAACATTGATTAATACCAAATGAACATCCCTTTTCTAATCTCTAACTAAATTTTATATATTTACAGTTGATTCTTTTACGCGTCTTACTAATTTTTTGTGTCTACATAGTTAATTTTACAATTATAAATAATAAAATAAAATATCATGTAAAATCGGAATGAAACGAGGTCTGCAAATACACAAGAAATTCTTGTCATTTGAGCTGAAAATCCTTGTTTTGTAATTCAATTGTGTAAAAGGCAATATTTTTCGAACTATTGGCTCAACTGAATGTGTCGATAATTGAACAAGAAAAATTGTACTGATATATGATTATACAACCTTATTCAAATATTTTATATACTTTGGTGAAAAATTACAAAAATACTGCTGGTTGAACTCAAATATCATTTCATGTTTTTTCCAGCTTCCAATAGTTTTGTTTGAGTTTGCTTTCGTCCTATGAAGATGTTCTCATACGATTAATTAAGTCAAAGATCGAAAACGAGTGTGACTGTCGTTTAGTTATGAGGATATGTTGTTTTGAAGTCACTTTTCGATATATGTTTTAAACATTCTTGAATGTTGTTAAATTAGATTGATATTGTCCATATTTCATTGATGTACTACAGTAGATTATCAAGAAAAATTTTTCAAAATTTTCATGACCAATAGCCGACGTGAATCGTTAATGAATCCTTCGGTAGTCTATGTACAGAATAGTTAGTTTAACAACAGATCGATGGAGATACGTGATTCATAGTGTATAAAATAAGAACTGAATATAAAAATGTTTTATTCATCAACACTGTGGAATAGATTTTATATTTTAGTAGGTGTCCAAATGCCTCAAGTGGGTCAAATTTAATAAATTCTGACCGTTTGTCGTAAACTGAAATAAAAAAATCGGATTCTAAATTAAATTTTAGTTCTAAAAATGGTAAGATTAACGTAAGACAGAACTGAACTTAGTATATGACACTACGTCTTTATTATTTATTCGCAGAATTTAAAATATAGAAGGAAAAAACTTTGAAAAAAGATCGTTTACATCAGCCAGTCTGAGCATTGTCCTGTTTTATCTCATTAATGACGATGAACATTGAATTTAGATGAAAGATGAATGATGAATAGACTTAAGCACCACAAACTGAACAACTTCTGGATTATATTAAATACACCGAGAATTTTATGAGAATAATAAAATTGCATAGTTTGAATTATTCATAATTATTCCATTAAAACGCTTACAATTATTCTCGTTTAATGTATAATGTCGACGAATATAGACTTTAGATAATAAGCACAATTGATGATGATAATGATGATGATGAATGAGAATATCCTTATTCAATATTTTGTACGATGATTATGGAATGTATATTTCAATTTATTCTGGTATTGTTTTCAATTCTCGCCGTCGCTTTTCTTCTTCTAGAAATAGACATATAAAGTTATAAATTAATATTAAGAAGTATTTTGAGTCATTTTTATCAAGAAAAAAAACTATCTCAACAAAATTCCTTATAAAAACTAATAATATGAAGTCCAATTTTATTTTGAAAATTTTACTGTGCCAACAAACCTGCATTCGCTTGCCACCGTTCTTTATTTAAACGTAAATTGTCTTCCCATGGTCTCCGCAATGGTAGACGACCAAGTTGATATGTTGTTGTTGGTGGTTCTTTCCCTTGTCTAAAAATATGATACACACACAATTATTTATATCAAATAACGCTGAATTAGAATATAGATACAGAAATTATTTCTCACCCATTGGCATTCTCTCGAGCATGTCTTGATTCATTTGAGGAACCAGCTGATGATGGAGGTGACGGTGATGGAAGAGGTGAAGGGGTTTTCGTCGGCATGGGAGATGTCGATGAAGAACCGGTATCCGAAGATTTTAATATTTTTTCAAGCATATCGCCCATAACAGAAAATGATGGTTCAACAATATATTGAATAAAACCTAGAGGAGAAGAATGATTATTATTTCTGAATAAAATAAGATACAAATATTTATCTCATACCTATTTGAGATTCAGCTACGAGTGTATTCTCACGATCACATAATGGTGAACACGGTAGACCAAGTTCTTTTTCTTTTTCTCCCTATTATGAAAAAATAGATTCAGACTAGATTCTATTCCTCAAAACAAGTTTTTCACATAAAAAAAAAAGAAGTAAATCTAATTTAATCTAACATTATTAAATTTTGAATAGTTTCACTGTTTTCTTCATTATTTTTCTAATAGATACCAATATCACATTCGAAATAAAAGTATACTCGGCTATTCTCTGAATAATTTGGGAGCCAAAAGAGACAATAGGTTGGCTTTTAAAACCTTAGACATTGACGCATGTTTCTACTGAAAAATTTATAATAGAAATAGTTAGATAGTCGAAAGTATCATCTTCAAAATGAAAAGAAGAATTAAAAAGAAGAAATTCAAACAAGAAACAGTAAATTTATTCATAGCGTTGGTATCTATTGACTTTTCGAAACTCAAAGACAACTGGGAGATGGATAATCGGCCTGACTTTTTACATCTCACTTCTGTAATGATATCCTAAGATATTCAGCTCATTTGGAGCGCTTTTGATAAAAAAAAAAGAAATTCTTGAATATTCACTAAAGCTAGTCTAACACTTTGTATTGAAAAATCAGATTTTTAATAGATTTCGCTGAAACCTTTCAATATTCTACTTTATAAAAAGATTCTTTTAAATTTAATTTTCATGAAAAAAAACAATGCGTCATTGTTACAAGTATCAAGATCTGAAATTTTTGTCTCTTTCTACTCTTAAATTCTTCGAAAAATATCCGTATACAGTTTATTTTCAATATCAATAATTAGTCAATATTCTCTACCTGTTTGAAATATTCTTCTAACAGATTTTCTGTCCAACCATGATGAATATGCCATGGTTTTCCAGGATGACTTATATCTGCACAATGCAATACCAAGGCGAGTGCTTTTCCTTTTTCAATACTAGAACAATTAGAAAATATTTTATTCATTTCATAAAATAATATTAATATAAATGATATTTATTACTTTTCTGGCATGCTTAATAAACTTTTCATGTTTTTTAATTGTGTAAAATGAAAACTCATATCAGTCGCTAATACCATATCAATAACAAGTTGACGAAATTGTCTAAAATGTAGAGAAAAAAAGATAAGTTAAATAAACTTAGATTAATTATTTTTTAAATATTTTTATTTTACCGATATTCGTCATTGGTAAACTCTGACACTATATTATAATCATCAATTCTCATTAAACGAAATGCTGCACTAACATGATAATTTTCTAATACGGCTCGATCATTATAGATTAATGCAACATCAGATCTTTAAGACAAAAAATTCATAACCTATTCATTATCTATTCATAATAATTAGAGATAAAAATATATCGTTACTTTGACTGTATATGAAAACTATTTGTTGTTCCTGTATGTTCAAAATCGTGTATAATTGCTGCTATAAACATGGCAAAGAGTTCACTATCAGTTAACCAATTCTAAAATAGTTTTAATATAATATAGAACATGTATATCTATAATCAATTTTAATAATTGATAATAAAATATTAACTAGAAATTAATAAAAATTCAAACCTCTACCATTAACCCACTGGAATACACTATCTGATAAGTTGTTTGTAATACATCGGCAGCATGAATTAAATTATGATAAGGATTATGATATTTACTATATCCTAATTCCATTTGTTCTAAAAAGTTTTGTAATGCAGTCAACGACACCTGGAAAAAAGGAAAAAAAATAAAAAAAATTTTGAATTGTTTTTTTTTGTTAATAAATGATGTATAAAAAACGAAAATTGATAGTTCTCATTTTTCAAATTGAAACATTCTTTTTTAATTATTATAACACATACATGAAGTTTATTCGGTAAATTATAACGTTGCATCAATTCAAAGCCCACATATCTTAAACTTTGCCCATTTGTAAATTCATTAATAGCAAACACATCAAAATTCCATTCATTAATTGTCTGAAATAGGGAGAAGGAAAAAAAAATATAACAATTTTATGTTTCATAAAAAATAAATGTTTTATATTTATCATTGAAGCAACAATGAGAAATAAAAGCGTAAAGAAGCGTGAAACATTTAGAATACTTTTAATATATAAGCATTGTGTCAAATATATTCTACATCTAAATTCAAATTCTTTTCATTTTATGTTGAGTATAAAAAAAAAAATTTTTAAAAATTTTTTTTTAAATTTATCTAGATGATGAATCTATTTAAATATGTCAAAAAAATATATATTATCTATTTTGGTCAAACATCAGCCTAATATGAATAAATTATGACGATGAAAGAAAAACAGAAAGATCGCGTACAATTAAAGCTAACAAAAAAACACAATAATAAATGATCTAATACTCAATGCAGACTGTGATATCTGACAATAATAAAAAAAGAGACTAACTAAATTAGAATGAAAATAGAATAAACTAATTAATCATTCTCTGATACGAATGTCTTTTACATGTTTAGGAAAAAGGATAAATTACAAATAGTTTTTGGTTATTTTGTTAAAGAATGTTTAGGTTAATATTTTTTTTTTTGTTTTTTTTTCAAAGGAATCCATGCAGTGACATTCAGTTATCTATCAACTTACTTTGAATGACTGTATTATATCGACTTTAGCATTTGTATTTAATAATGCCAGAGATGCGCGACGAAATAGCCTGTGGCAAATAAGCAAAAGCAAGAATAAGCGCACACAAATATGAAGAGTAATATGTATAAATAATGAGAATTTGTTCAAAGTTTTTATAAAGTTAAAATTCATTCCTATTTTCATATATTTGATTTATGAAAATATTCTCTTGTTTGATTTTGTTTGTCGACATTTTAACAACTATCACTAAAGGGTTAATAAAACTATCAATTGTTCGATTCTAGTGGCAGATAAACAGAAATTGTCGTATAAATCAAATCATCATTTATAGAGAAAATTTTGAACATCTTCTTTGAATCAATTGTTTAATCAGATGTACTTCGTCACATGATGAAATGATAACAATTATAGATTTAGCAAGTATTGTGCAAACATAAAAAAAATATTAGTTAACTAATACAATGGTGTTAAAGCAACATTTCATCGGTTTTTTTTTTTCAAACAAGAATTAAACATTTAATAAATTAAATATATAGCTACAATATAATTATGACGTTTTTTTTTTGTCCCAAAGAACAGAAAGATACCTTAAATTTTATATCAATAGATAGACGCCTCAAATACCTAAAAACATGGAGTACTCAATCTATTATTTTGAATATATTGTTGTTGGTAGAAAACATGCATTGGTCAACATGCAGTATGAAAATATTTTTTTTTTTTTTTTTTTTTTTGTTTTATTAATGCAGGTGTTCAAAAAAAGTAATTGATGAAGATAAAATGAAATATAATTATCGTGCATTATTAGTTTTTCACACCATCTGCATTATTAGTTTTTCAAATACCAAAAGAAGGGATCATTAATTTGTTCTTCTTACTTCTTTGTCTCATACCTTAATTTTAACATGTAGTGACCAGTGTTTTATAATCCTTTTAGAGAGAGAAAATAGAGAGAGAGAAAAAGAGAAAGAGAGAGAGATAGAGACAGAGAGAGAGAGAGCATATAAACAAATTAACACATTGAGATTAAAAATAATATGTATATATATGATTTAATTGAAACAACACGACGTGGATCTCTCAATATAATATGCGTTTTCATACCTGTAACAACTGCAAAACAAGAAAAAAGATGTTTTTTTTCTTTTTTGAAATTATTATTAAGAGCTCAATATTATTTCCCGCCCCCCTCTTTTTTTTTAAGGAAAATAGATAATCTCTATATGTGCTAAGGTTTTAGAATATTTGAATTAGATACTAACTTATCAACCATAATTCCAGCTCGGATAGCTTGTGCAACACTTTTAAATTTTGGTTTTTCTTCTGGACGTCGTTTCATTGTGGACATTGAACGTGTAAATGTCATCGCTAACCAGTCGCGTACTTCATTTGGTACACTGTCTGGTTCCATTTCCGATAACACATCGTCTTCTTCCATAAGACGTCTAAAATACAAAAAAAGACAGTGTTATAAAAAATTTTTGGTATAATGTTTATTATATTAAGATATAAGTCATTGTTGTTCACAACGATGGTGGCTCTATCCTTCATATTATTTTCTTCAAATCTAGATCTATCCTACATAGTTTTTTGTATACGAGTAAAATTTAAAAGCTTAATATTTGCTACCATTCATGGTTTCATTTTGCATACCTTAAATGAACTAACTATTCTTGTATATGGAACCCAAATAACTGCATTTAGTTAAGAAAACCGTGAAATAATGTACTACATACAAAGTACACCTCTTTTTTTTTTTTAAAATTAAAAGGATCTTCTTTTTTTTTCCGTAGCTTCACGCTCCACAAATTTGTTTTGTATCCAAAGTGATAGTATTAAATTTTTGTAAAACATAATACAAACGTTTGTTTTCTTAATATAAAAATCCAATTTTTACCTTCGAGCAAAATTTTTTAATAGAAACGACGAGAGAAAAGTGTGGCCGTTTTCCGTACAATATACAAAGGCTTTATACAAAAAAAAAAATTAAATAAAGAAAGCTTTTTATCGCTCTAATGTAAGATGTTGAAGAGAAAATCTACTCTACTGTTTGAAGTGTCTTAAAGCTACTTAAACCGCAAAAGGAAATGTCGTATATGGATGACCTTAAAGATCCGAATATTGTGAGAAATTATGGAAAGTAAGCGAATAGAGAAAAAAACGTCTTTCAACTAAAAGAAATTTACTACGAATAATTGTTTTATTTTGATCATCAAACTATGCACGATAAACAGTGACTATTTTTGTATTTTTAGCCTGTATTAGTATTTTAAAACAAACGTGCTTAATTTTTTGCTCAAGGCTGATTAAATCTTCATTTTTTTTTATATTTAATTCTAACCGAAAGAGGACAAAATAATACTGTCTGATTTTCACCGGATATCCTTTTATTAAATTGTCTTGATTATAAATATCATACATCCTTTCAAACGACCTTTCCACGCTTGAACAATATAATAATTATCATACCAATTTTACTGAGAAATATCATAGTTTTTATTGCTAAGGAAAACTATTTATTTAATTAGAGTATAGAATCTTAATCTCCTTCTTCAGCATCGTACCAAGACAACATTGAAATGATGCATAAAAATCTTACTTGGTCTCATCCAAATGAGCATTTTCCATAACGCGTGCCACATAGTCCAAATTTCGTATAAGATCTTCTTTTCGAATAAATACATTGTGTTGAAGAGCTGCTATTATCGTTCGTATTCTTAAAAATAAGAAAAAATAAAACATTTAAATCGTGACTACCTTTTAAAATAAAAAAGTAATTTTCATTCACAAACATATGAATCAACTGTTTTCGGACAATAATGAAAGCTTAACATATTCATACTTCGCGACCACATTAAAGTCTCCAATATTAAAATGAATACTAACATTCATTATGTTGAAAGAGACAAAGAGACAGACAATTTTAAGTCTACTAGATTTTACTCGATCTGTAGATTAGCGAAGAAACTGCACTATTCACTTCTTCAAATTTAATAATGACTATACCTTTCTCCTCCACATTGGAGAGCATCAAAGGATTCAGGTGGTGGTAAATTATCGGTTCGTGTTAATCCGGATACATCGTGCTCGATGACACTGTCATGACTGGCTTTTGATTTAATCGTCAATGGTGGTGTAAAATTTTCTAAAAATGACAGTAATAGATTGAATAGTGGATACAACAGTACGATTGCATCATTTAATAATAACAATATGATTTCCCTACTCGATTGAAGTTGTAATGACAGAACCCTTCAAAGATATAATAGACATCTTCAATCAACAAAAGGAACATATCAATAGGCTTTTAAATCAGTTTTTGTTAACTTTTATTAGAAATATCGTACAATAAAAACTTGTCAGCCTTTGTACCAGTAACTAGGATATATCAAAACATTCTAAATCTATAAACTTGAGATAATTTCGATCACCCGTTAACATGATGCTGGAAAATTCATCAAATTAATTACCTTTAATGAATTTTAGAAGATTTTTATATCAATCGATAGCTGAGATTTAAGTCTATCTTCCAGTGCAATAGCAGTTTTTTCAGTTCTGAAATAGCTTTATGGTATCAAAAATACTAAAAGCATTTCAAGCATTAATCGGAATTATCCCAAGTTACTCTACATATAATTAAACGAATATGACGACAGCTTAAATATCATAGCTTGATTCTAAAATTTTATCTGATGTCAACAGTCTAAACAACTTCCATCAAAATTTTTGTCTTTTTTAATAGATCAAAGAAAACGGATCGGCGTTCTATCCATGCAAAAGTTCACATGTTTCTATTGTCCAGTACTTTTTAGTACAATAGTAATGTAATTTACGACTAAGGAAATGTATTCATTTTAACTAAATTAGTCAATGTTTATTTGAAAAGGAACATTTCATCTATCCTCCTTCTTAGATGAAGAAGATGCCGATGAACATTATGTATATTACAATAATCAATGAGGTTAGGTTACTCTAAACCCTCAGTATGGTCAAATTGTCAATAATTAAAGAATGAAAATTACATACATACGAGTTATACTGTGTTTTGTCTTTTTATCCATTTACAGTTTCTGCACTGGAATATTTATTTACTTCTAAGACTGTTAATGTTATCATAAAACAAGCGGACTACTTTTCTCTCATCCATTAGTCCATAGTTATACATGCTGTTTGTCACTGACAAAACGTTAAAATATACGGTAATTATATGTATATATTGAGTCTTTTTTGTTGTTTTCATTTTTTTTTTATTATTATCAATGACTTCTTTTCCTTTCTTTTGTTTACAATCATCACTTATTCCGTTTTCTGTGTGAAATACCACTAGTTTTTTTCTACTTAGTTTAAATACAAACGACTGGGGTACACAACTCGCTGAAAAGCACACTATATTGATTTAGAGATATGTAGAGTATGAGTTTTCTGAGCTTTAACCGCGCTCTACCGTGTAAAAATTTTCACGATCGTGAAAAAATATTTTTTGGGCTAAAAATGGATAGTTAGAATTTTTTTTCAGCTCTAGTTTTATGCTGTAAACAATTTTTGGAACACTTACACTATTCTTCTCTGTAGAGTAGAGCGTACAGGGTCCTGCACATCTCTACACTGATTAAGTGATTAGGAACGAATTTGTATCTGTTTTTAGAATGATCGGTTATAGCATCTCGAAATGAACTTTACACACAGTTTTCACTATTCGATTTAGTGTCTAATGTTCATATATAAATGACTATCAATACCAATATGGATGGTTTTATCTCTCTATCTTTTAAAGTCCGTATTTCTCCTACGACATAGTCATGATGTGGAATACACATTTATTTATTTTATCATACTACCCGTCAACGTCAACTTTTTCTGTCTTGACATACTGTAGTATTGTATTATTAACATTGTAAAATGTGTATCGTCGTAGTAATGAGCAGAAAAAAATGGAAAGAAATTTTTTGACATATATAAAGAGAATTTATCGTCATCAGCGAACTAATTTATTCAATAATATTGACAGAAATGATGTGCAATTTTTCAAGTTATTTTAATGTAATAGGCGAATCCGAAAAAGAAAGAACTCGTGAGCATTATACACCAAATAATGATAAATAAAAGAGGATGAGTCTTGAATGATTATAAAAATTTCTACAAATCCTGGATATCTCGTGAAAATAGAACCCCAAGTATATTCAACATGAGGACTTAACTCAGTATGTGCATGAAATTATCGATAGATCTTCATTTGTGACTAGTGTTTAATAAATATGTTTAATTCAAAAATATCACAAAACGATCTAAAATAGATGCTACAGCATTTTATTCAAATCATAGCATGAATAACCTAGTACAGAAAATATACGTAGGTCACACGAAAAATGTCTGAATTTACGCTAATCTTTCATTCATCTTTCATTAATAAACGAATGACTAAAAGTGTTCTGTTTAACATCCAATTTATTAGTCAAAATTATCTTACTAAAATACTTCATAGTAAAACAACAGATCTGATAAAAAAAGAAGTAACAGAATATTTCATCTTATCCATAGCTAATGTTTACTGGTTAGTGCTGTATAGTCAAAACATAAAATGAACAGATCGAAGTCGACGTTTCTTTTTCTGTTTTATTCTTCTTCAGACGAGTATCATTTCAACAACTTAACAGTAAACATGTGTTTGTGCACATCATTTTACATACTAGAACTACTAATGACTATTATCTTGAATAAAAGATGAGATTGATGTATTAAAAAAAATTGACTGGTGTCTGAATACTTATAAATGAAACTACTATTTTAACATACTCTTTTATAGATATTGTAAGAAAAGTACGAAACTAGCGAATGCACAAAATAAATTTTACTCTTTACTTAATGTATTACCTGTTGATGACTTGTTCAAATAACATTTCAAGAACTTTAATGAGTATAGATAACCTTGAAAAATGACCTCATTAATGAAGATAAAAAACAAAGTCAAAAGAATGCATTTTGGATTTGTTAGTAGCTCTTGAAGGTCAGTCTAAGATTGTCAATGAACCTACTCTACTGTTCTTCTTTAGTTTCTATTATACTGAATAAACTAAGTTTTCAAAATAAAACAAGAGACTACGAAAACTAATAGAGTTGATGTGTTTAAACTATTCCCAAATCATTCAGTCATGCTGTGAAGGTAGTTTACAGGGAATTTGACTAAAACAAACATAGACAGCAGCAACTCATCAACAGATTTTTGCATAGAGAATGATCGTTATAGCCTTTACTATAGGACTTTTCAGTGGCTGCGGAGAAATTGTCAGGGATTGGATAGCGTTCAGATAGTCGGTCATACTTGAGACAAGGATCAGAGATCGTAAGTTCCTTAATTATCACACTTCCTGGCGTCTGTCGGATGCTGTACGCGCGAAGGCGGCTAAGTGTTACTGTAGAAATAGGTTTCTATTTCTATTAGATAATAGGTAGAATTAGTTATTAGATACCTGTAGAAATAGATTTCTATTTCTATTAGAGGAAAAAATTAGATTGAAAACCTAAAATAGTAGGTCGAATGGTATGATTAATAAAAAAGTTTGCATTTATATTTTGTTTTTTTGCCGATATTCACCTTTTAGACTAAAAGGTTACTTCTATTAAGTTTAAAATTTACTAGAAATTGTATACATTTGCTAATTTTGCACCTTCTCCGTAATACAGAGAAACATGCACATTTTAATGATAATTAAAAATGGTGAATTGTGAATGAAGTTTTATACAACTTTAATTAGTCTATGAATCAAATAACAAATTACAAAATTTATTTCAGTTAAAAATTATTTCACATTTCTAATTTAGTCTCATGAATACTTTTATTCTTCTTTTCTAATGACTGTAGTTACTGTAAAAATACATTTTGATTCATCATAGAGATCTTACGCACTACTATTGTAAAAGTGAATATTGTGCTTCCAGATCAATGATTATAAATGGTCGAGATGTCAATCTTGTGTTCTTTAGAGTAAATTTCTGAGATATATAAAAGAATTAGCTTTGAAGAATTTCAGCCATGTTTATTCACTGATAAACCTTCTATATTTTGTATTCATATAATACCGTCCGTCATTTTAATGAGAAAAGTATACTGTCTTCGAGATAGATATCATTCATTAGTATTATTCAGATTATTTGTGATAAACATTAAAACTTTTAAATGTAGTAAGAAATAGAAATTCGTGTCAGACATGATTTCAAGTCTATCCTATGGGGTATGATACGTACTTAATTCTTCATAAGCTTTTTTCGGTCGATGATGTCGTGATGAAGTTTTACTTGAACCACCCGACACTAGAATAGAAATCAAAACAATTGTTATTAGAGTTTTTCTTTTTAATACCATTAAGTCTCCGTTGATGATAAGCTATGAAGAAGTGAAATGTCGATTTTTAATTCTTAAAAGCAAACAAATATTAATTTCAATTACATTAATGAAAAGAGCATGAAAAACTACACAAGCTGGTGATGTTTAATTTACAAGTAATATTCTCTAACAGTTTTTAAGAAATCTTTCAAAATTTTTTTCTAGATTCAATTGAAGATTTGCTCTTTTGATTAAGATTGGTTAGTAGATAATTTCTATCAGAAATATATATACAAATGAGAAAATTCAATCGTATCCTCAATTTTGATTTTGTTTTAAATTTTTAGAAAACTGAAATAAAAGAGAACTAAAGAGGTGATATTTTGATAGAAATCAGTTTTAATGATGTAAAATAATGCCACAATTAGAATATTTAAACTATCTTTTATTACAATGATATAAGCAAATGAAAAATTTAGCTTCTTAACGTATTTTCAATTATCGCATCTACTTTATATAATAACCAATGTTAGAAAAATCCATAACATTTGAAGCATAATAACTTGAAATGTTAAATCAAGCGTATAAAATGCTTTTATTTTCCAACAATGAGAATTTTTTAATTGCCAAGAACTACGAGAAATTTTAAAAAGTCACGATGTATCAAAAAACGATGAAAGAAACTATTGAAGTTCATCCGCATAAAACACGCAATAGCATACGCTATAAACATACGAAACTATGCATCTTCTTTAAACTATTTCTCTCCGGCTAAAAATTACAAGACATAATGAATCCGTCTATTAATATCATTGATAATAACGATAAATTATAATACACGCAATTTTGCATTCAAACGAATTTCTTACCATTCATAAATGTTCCATCTTCCATTTTTACTAGAATTCGTCCATTTGTTGTTTGATAAAATTTAACATCCATTAATTATTATTGAGAGTGGCAAAAAAATTATGTTTTAACACTTGAAAATTTTATTTTTTAATCTATTTTAAAATTTAAAAATATGAGAAATGACTTTTTTTCTCTAGTACAAGCATCGTTTTTTAATAATGGCCCTTACCGTCTTTCCTACGAAATACAAAATAATCTGTGTTGATTAGAAAAAGGATGCTCATATATCAACTTCTCTATGTTAGAGAGAAAACAGAGAAAAATAGTTGGTTCTATCTCTTTTTTCTTTTTTTTGCTATTGTATTTAAAAGCATTTTAAATTCTTCATCTTATTGTCCTATTTCCGCTTTCATATTATTATTGTTTTGTTACATTATTATAGACAACCCTTTTAATTTTACTTTTACTTACGATTTTATAATAGAGGAAGGAATAGACAAAGATCTTAACATTTTTACATTTGACTAATTTATGATGGAAAAAAGAGGGTGACTACTCTCTTGTCTACTAAACGAAATAATAGAAGTTACCACTCGTCAGCCAAACTCTCATTTTCTCTTCATCTAACAAAAATACAAAAAAAAAAAAATGATATCTAGTTAGATAGAAGAAGAAAGACTATTCTATTATAAAAACTAATAATTAATAGAAACAAATTAAGATAATTGGGCTTTTAAACTACGTGTTACCTAAAAAGACTAAAAAATAAGGTATCTTCAGCTAAGATGAGTAAAAGAATATATTAGAAACGGTATGATAAAAGTCCTACTACTTTAGTAGTAAGATTTTCTTGATAGTGTTCAATTTCCATCAAAAATATTTGTTTAGCTTCGTCTTGTGTGTGTTATGAAAGTCAATCTATTGTTTGTTATATTTCATGATTATTATACATTCATTTTATCTCACTTTATTATATCATTTACGCATTATCTATTCCTTCATCCTATAGTTATAATAGTAAATTTTTAACTATTTTTACTCTACAACTTTGATGAAAAACAAAAATTCTTATATGATAATTACAACTTGTTATTTGTTCTGTTCTTCTAGATTTTAACCGTTACTGAGTATTATAAAAATTGCAAAAAAAGAAAGTCTGTACAATCAATGAAATATCCTCAGGATAAATAATATTACTGAACACTCATCTATCTGCCTACTGCATAAAATTAAGTAGTTTACATAAAACCATAGAGATTCTTACATAGTTCAAGAAGAAAAATGAGAAATATAGAATGATGTTCACAACAAAAAAACATAAATGGAAGAGAAAAACATCCTTGTTTATTTAAGCATCACGATTTCAATGATACATAATCGTATGTCATACTGCGATATAATTGATTTATTTCAAGTGCCATTTTACATAAACAACAGTACTTTGCTCAATAAAAACTTAGAATAATAGAATCATTAGTATATTAACAATATAATGGAATGAAATGAGTACTAAGAAGTAATTCTTTAACAGAGCACAGCGATAGAATAATTCACGAATTTTATCATAGTACTTTTCAACATTATGCAGGAAACAGAAATCTTTGTTGACTAGGATAAGGTGACAGGGTATAAAACATTAAATATTTCTTTGTCATATACAAACATGTTTAAATAATGAAAAGAATGGTTGAGAAGTTTGAAATGGGTCGTATACTATCAGTACTGAATTGAAACAGCCAACTAAGATGTTGAATAAGTTTTACAATTGATAAACTATGTGTTAAAAATATTTTTTAAACCTATATCTACTTTTTTTATAAGTTATAATGCAAAAAAGAATTTTTGTTAGTCGATTTACATTCACCCTCTCGTAAATAATTACGATTTTTAGGTTAACGACGGGACCTCGCGAACTGTCACATCACTTTTTCAGCCAAACCTAGTGGGTTATAGCTTATCAACTATGCTGAATCCGAATATCATAATGGTAACTGCCCAGGAGCCTTCTGAGAGCGATATAGTGGAAAATCAGCTTTTCAGAAACTCTAAAAAGGAACTAAAACCTTTCTTGAAGAAGTATGATTGTAGCCCACAAATTTCTCATTAAAATGAGACATCTTCCAGCTCTACACGACCTTTCTTTGTAAAGTTATAGAATTTACAAGAAAAGCCCTAAATTAATTTCTTCTTATTTCTGTAGCTTTGAGCTGAGAATGAACATTTAGGGTTTTTCTTGTAAATTCTATAACTTTACAAAGAAAGGTCGTGTAGAGCTGGAAGATGTCTCATTTTAATGAGAAATTTGTGGGCTACAATCATACTTCTTCAAGAAAGGTTTTGGTTCCTTTTTAGAGTTTCTGAAAAGCTGATTTTCCACTATATCGCTCTCAGTAGGCCCCTGGGCAGGTACCACTATGATATTCGGATTCAGCATAGTTGATAAGCTATAACCCACTAGGTTTGGCTGAAAAAGTGATGTGATAGTTCGCGAGGTTCTCTCGTAAGCATAAAACAATCGTTTACCCTTATGAATTAATTTTTTTCGAAACTATAAATTTATATGTGATATTTGTATGTGTGACTTTGCAGAGATTGTTATTACACAAAAATAGTTTATATTCTGTGTTGATATTCATGACACACACTGAGCTAATAGATTGCTGAATTTGGGTCTTTACCTTTTCGTTTTGTTGATTCATTCATCTATCTATTCACGCTTTTGCACCAACAATTTGATCTTGTGTCATCTATAGTGTGCGAATTTTTGTATCATATGAAATTTTACAAACATAATATATAGAATATTTCATTACGTTCTTATTCTACTGTATACTTCTTTTGATGATTAACGTCATAGGCATTCATAATTAACAATCGGATTTTGTAAAGTTCATCTACGTTAGAAAACTAATGTCGTTCAAATTGGATTTGAACTTTAATAACAATATTATCAAAATATGCTGATCTTTAAGTCTATTTTTCTCAGATTGAAATAAACTTAAAGAAAACGTACTATATCTGACAGTTATTAATAATCACGATAGGTAAGATGACACTTATACAATCAGATAAACTTTCATTAATTATGCAAAGTTAAAGAGTTGTAACAAACATAATCGCTTGTAGCTTTTAATGGAAAGCAATGTAATAATATTGGATACAAAAAAGGATTGCCAATTGAACCTATACACTTTTTGACTTCTAATTTTATTTATTTAGTTTGTTGATAAAGAGCAAGAAATTACAATGTAAACACTTTCATACGTTTCGAACGCAACACAAACAACAGAACAAAAAATGTTTATCTTTCAACGAGACAGGAGAACATTTCATCAATATTCTTAAGTAGTGTTTAAACTTAAATAGTTGACCTAAGTGGTTTAAAGAGTTAAGTTTATGCTTAACTTGAATGCTAATACAGAAAAGTTAAATAGTAGTTTTTCAATGTAGTAACTGGATTAACAGTGGCACTCAATCTCAGCCTGGACATAAGGCAAGCAACTGTTAACCTAAGTTAAGGAGCTAATTAAGTCAAACTCCTACTTAAAAATATTAATAAAACGATAACCACTGATATGAGAAATATTTTTCATTGTATAATGACTTCTTACATTATGATGCAAAATAACATATTAGAATAGATAAATACTGAATTTAGATTGACAGTAATTCTGTAGGTTCATATAGGACACATTTTTGTCAGCAGTGTCGAGGGTGAAGCAATCGAGATTTTCAATTGACTAGTTTCAGTAAATACAACAATTATTTCAGAAGATAATTTAACATAAGAAAAGATGTTATTGGGAAAAGATGATATTGTATAATTGTGCCTTTTCGTCTAATTGTTTATTCAAATCGTGACATCATATTAAAAAAAAGTTAAGAATAACATATTTCCGTAGATACATTAAAAGTTATATTATTACAAATGTTTTACACGAGAATGGTTTGCACAACGCCTATACTCTTCAATTAGCAAAGTCATAATTCTGAAAAAATATTCGATCGAACGCCTGAGATCTATCAAAAGTAAGATTAATTTTTAAATTAGCATAATACAAACTGTGACACGATTTCTTTTTTTTTCTGGATGATATAACAATGTAAATTTCCGATTCTGAAAATAATGAGAAAACTTTTGACTCAAGAGAAGAAAAACTATGCTTATCTCCGTTAGGAAATGAAATACTACACTTGCATGCTAGACAAACAGGATAAGTATCACTAATAACACTGCAAGTTACTGAGCATTTTAAGATAGAGCGATTTTTTTTTTAAAATAAAATTATCAAAGAAGAAAGAAATCCGCGCGTCATAAAAATATTCTAAGACGGCTTGCAGTGAACTACAGATACTAGAACGAGTTAGGATAAACAGAGATTTGAATTAATATTTCACATACTTCATCTAATGTTTTTGATATTCTGTTTCTAATCTCAATCTAATATATCATTTTTGTTTTTAAGTACCAATGAAGTATTAAATCATTCATCAACAAAAAGTTTGTAAGATCCATACTCAGCTGGGTGGGAAAGATTTTCTCTCTGTCTTTTCTTCGTTACATAAATAGTTTAAACACTTTTCTTTTTTAAATACAACAGGAACTTAGCAACCGAAACTATCACAACTGGAAACAATGAATCGGATGTAATAATAAGTATAATACATCAAAGAGAGAGAATTAAACTTTGAATATCATCAGTCTATGTTTCTGTTACGTAAATAGAAGAGAAGCTGTTTGATTTACCTTTGACTGGATGATGTTGAACTGATGTGCCAACAATAATTAATGATGAACTAGATGTAAAACGAATTTTTCTACCAGGCATAATGTATGATTTCTATTCGAACAGCATTTTAAAGTCAATAATATTATTATTTATTATATTATATTTGAATATAATTTTAATACACATATTGTAGAAGAAATATATTTTAAATAAATAATCACGAAGTTCAATATCGAATAATAGAAATTGAAAGTGTAATAATATTCATTTCAGTTATTAATTGTCATTATGAGTAGCAAAAATTATTTAATATTTTTTACTCTTGAACACATATGATTTGAGTATGTTCTGGTTTTTTGATCTTTATTAAATGCAATACATAAACTTTCTCACACCTTATAGTGCAAAATATGAAACGAAGAAGAAAAAAAAAAGTCCTTATAGGTAAGAATATTATCTTATTTTCTTCTCTCGATTCGTAGTTAGTCATATACAACTAAACTCTATTTTCTAAAAATTCCAAAACATTCATTCATTCACTATGTGCGTGTATATATACGTTTGAAGAAAAGAGAAGAAGCGACAACAACAACGACATCATAATTTGATGATTTCTTTTTCTATCTTATATACGAATGCTGTGGTATTTGAAAAAAAACTTGATATATAGAAAGGAAATGCACCGACACAATCCTACGGTAAAAAAAATAAAGTCATTCACTTATGCAAAGGGCTAAGAACTTATTTTTTATTTTCTACGTGTATAGAAAAAGAAAATGAAAAATAGAAGAATACTTTCTTTGGTGAATCTTTTTTTCTTTCAGATACATAACTTTATTACGAATTAGTATAGAAACATTTCAAGTTTTTTTATTCAAATAAGAAAAGCCGTTACCTAGGATGAACGTGTAAAACCGATTAATAATTTAGTATTAGATACATTATAATAATACTCCCCCGAAAAAAAAAAATAATTTAATATAAAAGTTTAATATCAAACTTCTTTATGAGTAACGAACATTACTCTAATTTCTCTATATTCTTTATTAAATAATGGAAGCTCAATTAGTTGTATTATATGAGTAATGTTTACGATTAATTTCCATCATATATGATATGTAGACTTAAATTCAAAATTGCCATGAAATTTATTGGCATTATCGAGAAGTATGTCTTTAAAAACCTTTTATACATTCAAAATATTATAGAATATCATTCACACTCAACTGTCTCTTCTTCTCTTATCCATACACTCGTCACAAACAGGAAAAAAAGTTGACTAGAAAACTCGTGAAATTCTTAAAGTACAGTAGTACTTTTTTTGCTTCAGAATCAACCATATGATTGTCACTGCAATTAGACGGATTATCACAATTTGAATTATAAGCATGCTCATGAGCACATTTGAAACATTTATTATTATTTGTACACGCTGATAAATGATGACCAATTTTTGGGATTTAAAACATTTTATCAGAATGTAATAGAGATTTATACGACTAAGCACGGTAACGGATCAAACTGAAGTAAAATAACTGTCTTTTAGAATTTATTGTACGTCATCATGAGAGTAGAAATCAAGTTGAATTCGTTCGGATGAGTTTGTGTCCTCAACGAAAATACATTGCACTTGTATAACTGCACTATAATTGGAAATGACAGTTTTTTCAATCTGTCGCATCGCATGTCCTATTGTTTTGCAACATCATGAACGATAATTAAATAGCATGTTGGAATCCACTTGAGAATTTCAATTTCAGAGGGAATATTCATAATTCTTCAAATGTGTATGTATCGTTTGGAAACATTGATAGCATATGTAATACATATGAAAATTAGAATAACGAGCGAACGATAGATTAAGTTTAGAATTATAATCTACTAGTTCGTTCAACAGCTCGTCGGAGTTTTGTTAATTTTCGAATATAATTTTAAATGGTAGAAGTTTAAAATTATGTAGACACTTTGTTTTATTTTGTTGATTGCGGTTTGTTGCAGACAAATGACAGAAAATTTTTGTTTCTTTTGATTCTCGGACGAGTTGCCATTATGAAAATACGAATGACCTGTTGATACAGTTGAAACACTGCTTTGATACTCTTCTGAATTTGTTGTTGTTAAGCCATTCGTTGTCTAGAACAGTCTCCTTTTTGTTGACTTCGAAAACCGTCACTATCATCCTCTACCGTTGAAAGCCATGAGGAAACTGTGGTCATAAATTGAATTTTTTTTTGGTAATATATACTCTTCACTTGTAGATCTTTGCTGACCTTGATTATTTAATTCCATTGTACTTGCTTCTTCATCGGACGAACGATCAGTATTCAAAACATCATTGATATCAGGTAAAACATCTTCTGCATTCAACATGTCGTCGAATGAGGCTAGAATTTCGTATTTTGATTATTTATAATGTGTATTGAGTAATTCTTTCCTTGAGTTAATGAACAAACCCTAAACAAAATCCTACGCACTTCCTGCCTGTTTCCTACCCGGATCTCACAGGATTCTAACATTTAGGATCCACCTAATAACTTCCTAGCAGGATCGTAAAATGCTCGGATCCTCCTAGGATGTCGCTTAACCCTTTGGCGCCGGGGCACGCATATATGCGTGTTAAAGCTTTGCCAAATGCTAATTTCTAAATGCTTCTATATAACAATGAAATTTGTTCCAGATATTTTTTGAAAGGAAAAAAACATCTTATTTTTTTCAAAAAAAACCCGGCGCCAAAGGGTTAAGTTTGTTTAGAATCCCAACAAAATCTTAGAAAATTCGTTAAATATGCCTCCCAAACGACATTGGGTCACTGCTAACTATTGCTTACTTGAGTTTAACATATGGTCAACATTTATTCTATACTATTTTACTTCTATACTATTTTAACATATACTGATAGTATCTGGTTAATCATTGTACTAAAATTATTTCGTACGAGCTTAGAACAACACTGTCGTATGTTTTGGAAAATGCAATATGAACAACAAGATAACCACAACTATGGGTTGTGTTTATACTCTGCTTTGTTATGTTTAATTCTACTATTCATTCCAAAATACAAGACCCGTGGGCATTTTTTGAATAACTTTTGATAGGAATGAGATAGAGACCTGCGATTTTCGCTATTCAATAGCCAAGACTTGAGCAGAACTTTTCACAAGCGGAAGCAACTTTTGAAAAAATTCCAGAGATCGGATTTTCAGAGGATCTTTGGAAAACCAGCTCCGTTCTCAGAAAACTAACATACAATGTTAGTAATTTTTTTGCATGCGTAGATAGTTCGGACGTTACTCT